GTATACTCAAGGATGTGGTAGTATACACAAGGATGTGGTAGTATAATCAAGGATGTTGTAGTAAACACAAGGTGGCCTTTAAGGGGTACCACAGCATCAATTATAATCAGGAAGAAGAGTTCCACACAGAATTGTTTTGACCTGGAGTAACCTCCCTTCTTCCTAAAGGATGAAGCAACCAAAAGGATTTTTTATTGACTTAGAGTAACTTCCCCTGTCAAATTTTTCATAGGCTTGGAGGCCCAAAAATTGACACTTAATTTCTACACTACACATTTTGATTTCCTAGCTGGCAAGATTGATAATGGATAAGATTAACAACAGTATAATTCTGTAAAATGCATGCCATCACAACAAATGATTTTTATGGAACACTTCTTTTGAAAAGGACTTGAACATTTTTTACAATCACGGTAATAATATAATTTAACTTGCTGGTACCCTTTACCTCCATATAATATCTGATAACAAATTTATCTTTTTTCCCTCATGCCTGTATCAGTGAAATAGCTGTTATCAAGTGTTGAAACACAGACTGGAAGATGAACAAGGCCCTACCATATCTTTACAGTAAGACGGGCATATAACAATAAGTTCATACAACAAAGACAAATAAAATATTTACACATAGTTTTCCTCTGCCAGGTAAATTCCATTTTTCTCGCGAACAGCCTGCAGGTCTCTCCTGAGTCTCTCGATCTCCTCTGTGTATTCCTGTAATAGACATACCCTGTAAGATGTTGTGTTAAGTTTGTTAGTGTTGTTTGTGGTATTTCACAACCACTATAGGTTTTCTCCCTCCCAACTTAACGGATAAACCTGTTAGGTGTTGGTAAACATTTTTGGTTACCTACTAGTGGGTAACACTCTGAATCATATTTCATTGGTAAATCTTGTGTGTTTTTAAACAATTTGAAAATTAAGTGAGTTAAATAAACAAGTCAACAAACCATCACTGGTTGGAGAACCTCTATTTATAAATAGTAAAAAAAAATACTGGAATAAAAAGACACTACTAGAGAAAAATAAAAGTTATTGGTCCTTATGGGAGGAGACAATCTACAGTCATTTCTGGTTTACACTAGGCAGTGGGTAGATATTACTGTTTATGGTTTCCACTGGGCAGTGGGTAGATATTACTGTTTATGGTTTACACTGGGCAGTGGGTAGATATTACTGTTTATGGTTTACACTGGGCAGTGGGTAGATATTACT